ATATTATAAAATCATAATATAAAAAAACCTTAACCCTAACCCTAGAGCTAACTATAAACTTTACTATAACTCTTAACTAACTCTAACTGATTTCAAATTTGTTTAAATTAGTTCAAATACTATGTTTATATATTATAATCTTATAATAATTCTATATTGCCTAGTTATACTAAAGATCAACCTTTTCTATTTTGCAAATAAATTTCAAGTTGTTGAATTCTATTTTCAACAAATAGAATTACAGGCTCATTTTCTTGCTAAAAAAATTAAGATCAGAAATAAACTTTTTAGCATAATGCCGAATAAAAGTCAAGTAAATATGCACTCACCTATTTTCTTCAAAGTTGTTAAAAATATCTATTATTTTTTTAACAGCTTCAAATTGTTCAAGTTTTAACTCTTCCTTGTAAAATCCTTTAATGTTTTTTAAATAGTTACAAATGTAAAACACCATTCAAAACTATGTATTTTAATAGGTAGTAACAAGTAATAGTATAAACTTTAATGATGGGTTTGATTGTTGATTAACCTATATTATATTAGATAACACATATATCAAGACTTGCAAGCTTTAGAGTGTATGAATGTTTATTTAATATTTGCAACTAAAATTTTGACAACATCAAAGTGAAAAATTAACAACCATGTTCACTAAAATAACAAATTTATTAATTTTAACTATTACAGTAAATTTTTTTTTATTACTTCGGCAAGTTTAGACGTGACTTGGTCCAGCTATCTTTATAGTTGACATGTATCCACCTGGGATCCATTGCCCGCTATTTTTCCGGTTCCCTCATTGGGGCCTAGATCCGACCACCTGCACGACACTCCAGAGAGGTCGAAACACCTTAATATTAGACTGGGATTTCACTAGCCAATCCGGTAGTGCCACGAGTTCTTGTAGTATCTTCTCAGACTTTGGCCTCACAGTACGTCTCATGACTTCGGTTATTCCAAATCGGGGTTCTAACACGGCTTGCTTCACAGCCACAACTTCTTGGAATAACTATTCCCCGAATACGTTCATCCGTAGATGTCCTGAGTTCTCTGTACCCCGCGGTGTTTCACTTCCATATTTGGGTTTTTATTATTTCGCCGCTGGGAGGAATTGAACCGGCAACCGTCCAATTTGCAACCTGGGAGCATAACTGCTATGCTATCGACCCGCAGATTATTATAGTAAATAATAATTCCATAAAAAATATTGTTATTATTATTTGCCCAATTAAATTTACAATGTGAACAGAAAGTATTATGTTTTAATTGCTGCATTACAGGATTTAAGACTTTACAAAAGCACTTCTTCATGTAAGAAGTGAAATTGGAAGCAATTAATTTTGGTAAATTAAAAGAAATTTTTCACTCTGTTAACAACTACAAAATTAGTTCACCTATCGTTGAAAAGTTTACAGCTTCTAAAAAATTAACTGATACAAGCTTTGTAGTTTCATAATAAGCAAACAATATTTTTTTTTTTTTTTTTTTTTTAAATGTCAACGGGTCTCGCCGTGACTAATTTTATTTATTAATATTTATAAGAACTATAAATGCATAAATTTCAAAAAGAAGTCCGACATTACACGGTTCCATATCGCGGTGCGAAACCTAACTCAGGCCTATGAGCAACTCCGTCCTATCCAGATCACGGATGACTGGAATTATTCAAAAAAAATAATTCTATAAAAAACGAAAACGAACTATAACTAAAAAAGGGGAAATGAGCAAAAGAGGGAAAAGGGAAAAGAGAAAATAAAAAAAAACCCCCAAAAAAAGAAAAAACAGGGAAAAATAAAAAAATTTTTATAGAACTAGGATAAAGTGTAAAGAGAGATTTCACCTCTCTATCTAATGAGAATGCACTATTATAACCTGTGCAAGGCTAAAAAATTATATAACAAATACAACGATTGTATATCTCTACTGTAAAGCTTTGCCTTAGCATAAAAAAGTTCTTCCGACTTATAACTATTTTCGAATATCTCTTTAACCGGAGGTCCTGATCCAACTTCCCCGGAGTAGCACCATATTTATAAACAGACACGTCACGTGGTTGCATTCTACTGAGTCCATCCGAATTTGGAAAGTAAACACTGCCGATCTTTTGGAGGGGGTAAGCCAAATCCCCACTTTTTGTAAAAAATTTTGGAAGACCGACGGGAGGGTGAGAAAAGGTAAAAAAGGTACCACTTAACCAAGTAAAGGAGTGAGGCTTCAAAAAAAATGAAAGTTTTGTTGTTTCCCCTGTGTTCTTCTTCGAAGTAACAGCTAGATAGCTTCGTCGACGGAGATGGGGCCGACCCCAAACACCACCAAGATTTTTCATACAAGGGCACCACTTGCCAGTTATCTTGTATAATAACGCTCTTGGCTTGCATGCCAAATGTCTCTTAGAGGAGTCCCAAAAGCCAAACGTTGACCTCTTGACAAACCACTTCATAGCCATGTCTCTCCAACAAAAATTTTGTTTTTTTTTAATTAGTCAGATTTTTGGTTTAAATGATCGTTGGGAAGAGTGATAATGTATATGAAAATTAAATTATTAATTTTACAAGATTATAACTAAATATAACTCAAATTTTTATTTTAGTTTAGAAATAGGGAGTATAAGCATAATAAAATTTTTTGTAATTGCAAATTTACAAAAAAAAAAAATTTTAGCAGGCAAATTTGGCCGCTGGATGGTTTAAGGGATAAAAGATTAATTATTTCGAACAAAATATATGTCACTAATTTTATTCGAAATCAGAAATCTGGTCATTAATTATGACTCACCTTAATAAACTTTTTATATTATAGAGTTTAATGAGCTTTAAAAAATAGAAAAAAGTTTATTCAAATTAAAACATTGGATGGCTAGTAAATTTATACTTTAATAGCAGAGGTCTTTTCGATTTTTAACCTTGTTTAGTGCTTTGGGATGAGTCGAGGGCGCTTCGAGTGTAGCCCGCGAATACAAAATAAAATTTCCAATTAACTTATAGAACATAATTAGAAATTTTGTGTTCGTAAAGCAGGAGGATGCTCTCCTCATGTAAATCCGGGCTACACTCGACGCACTAAAACGAGGTAGGACGGCTATTAAAAATCGAAAAAGATCTCCATTTTATTCGGGCTGTCTTATTAATATTTTGCGAATAAGGATAGCCTCAGTGGAGGTCTTTTTCGATTTTTAACGGCTATCCTACCTTGTTTAGTGCGTCGAGTGTAACCCGGGTTTGCATGAGAGAGCATCTTCCTGCGTTGCGAATACAAAGTAAAATTTCCAATTGTATATTGTATAATATAATTAGAAATTTTCTTTATATTCGCAACGCAGGAAGATGCTCTCCTCATGCAAACCCGGGTTACACTCGATGCACTAAACAAGGTAGGGCGCTGTTAAAAATCGAAAAAGACCTCTGCTAGAGCCTCTGTTTAGAAAATACTATGATATTCAAAGAGAATCTAAAGTAACACTAGCGATATCACGAAAACAATCAAACTAAATTCGATAAAATAGGTCTTATTTTATTCCATATAATAATAAACGTATAGGATTAAAGTAACAATTCCGATCGAATTTGGTTATGTGGTTGTCGTAATATCACTAGTGTTATTTTAGATGCTAGAACAGTTGAACATTCTGAATTATTGACAAATGAACGTACTACGTCCCCTTTTGCCCAGGCTTGCATAATCAGTACACAAGCTGATTAGGATTGTTATTCAGAATTACATATTTGGTAATTTTATAAGGACTATGCACACCCAAGCACTTTCGACACATCAATGCAAAATTACTGTTAAACACTGCCCGTGCCACATAAGTACTATATAACAAACTAAATACATAATGATTTAAATCAGTGTCCTCCCAAAGTTCTTGATGTGGCTGTTGAGTATGTAATCTGAATTGTTTTCGGTAAGATTCGTTATAAAATCGACTGTATTCCATTCCAGAGATAGGGATCAAGAACTAAACAGATAGATTTTCAGGATAATTACGTGTCCGGCGTAGAAGTACTCTAAATTAGGAATAGAGTTTGTATCGAGCAAATTATTATATATTTTCGATCAAATTTTAAATATAATGCAAAATGATGCCATGTGAGAATTGGAGTTTTAAGGATTTTACCAATTTCAAATAGATAACCAATCGAAATATGATTAATAGACAATCTAGAATTTCAGAAATTCTCTTGATAATCATTACAAAAATTGTAGGGTCACATCTTTTTGCAAAGCGCTATAATCTAACCGTATTAATCGTTTAATTTTAGCCAGTATTAATATAATTTCTGATCCATGACCAACATATATAATTCAGCTGGTTCCAATACTTAAATCTAGTGATATTAAAATAAAATATTTGCTTAGTTTATATATACAGTATATATATATATATATAATAATTTATGCTATGATCGCTATATACTATAATTTATTAGGCTTGATATACAGTATATTGAAATATTTAATATAAACCGTAATCGTTTGCAGAAACGATTATCATGGATCTCTAAATCAGGGTTGTAAAATTTTTGATTTTCAAGCCTTTTTTGACATGTCCAACGTTAGAGTCCAAGAATGCCAAGCATGTTTACACTTATACGTAAAGCTCAAAAAAATTATATAAAGGCACATAGTTATATACGTATATAAAATTAGATACTAACATTTTTAGTTAATGAATGAATGAATCAAATCAGCCAAACTGTATAAATTCAACTATATAAAGTTGGCCAATCAGAAGAAAGCTATCCCATAACATAGACATTCTTTAAACATCTCAGGTTTGGAATAATTGAATTGGTGTAACTCGGGGTCGGAGTTTGTTCGAAGAATTGTTACATTACTAAAAATAGGTATTAGATTAATTAAAATTTGTTTTTTATTTAAAATTGGTTATTATCGAAACAAAAAAAAAAAAAACAAAAACAAAAAAAAAACGGTTTTATATCAAAAAATATTAATACAGTATTAAGAAAAATTTTTATAATAATTGATATTTTTGCTCTATGCAGAACCAAAATGTATACATTCAAGGGTATAGTCCTTCTATTCAAAATATCCAAGAGCAACAACATATTTATAATGCCGCTGGTCCCGTTGCGATTAATATAGACTCTGAAAAACCTACACGGCACTGGGGTGAAGCTCCAGAGAGACAGCCTCGTCGTTATACTAAACAGCGTATTGAATTAAAGGATGGAAAAAATTTAGTATTAGAATGTCCTATACCCACAGATTTGCGCGGGACTATCCCTAGGAATGACTTATGGGAATTTACACATATGAGGTATACCGCATGTACAAGTGGACCTGACAATTTTATGGATAAAGGGTTTAAGCTTCGTCAAGTCGAAGCTAATCCTCCAAGAACAACCGAACTATTTATTGTGTTAACTATGTATAATGTAGGGAATTAATTCATGTTTTTTTAATAAGGCGAAGCAAAGTAAATGGTTTGGTTTTCATGTCCCGGCCGAGCCAATTTTTTTCAATTTAAAATTTAACATTTGAAAAAGTTATATCTACATACAATAACATTTTCAATAAGAATTTATATATATAAAATTTAAAAAAAGAAAGCCGTCTGTTCAGAAGTTTTTAATATTATGAAACCCAAAAAATTAAACTTTGCATGGCCTAATGATAATATGATAGGATAATGAACATATACTTATTACAATAATAGGAAGATAAAGATCTATTATCCCGGACTTTTCATGGAGTTGCGAAAAATATTGCTCATCTATGTAGTCGTGATAGGTCTAGAGTCTGGGTAGATACTCGATTCTTCGTCATTTTGAATACCTTTAAATTTTCAAAATTTTATTAATATATTCTATTTAACAAACTTTTTTTAAGGGTAAAGATGGATGGAAGAAGGTCGTTGTATGCATAGTTGCTGATGGTCGTGAAAAAATCGATAAGAGTTCTTTAGCTTACTTAGCAGCTCTTGGTGTCTATCAATCTGGTGTTGAAGTGGGTGAAGTAAGAGGTGAACCCGTTAATGCTCATATATATGAGTATACAACTCAAATTTCAATTGACAATGGTATGGACATTAAGGCGGGAGAGGATTCTGGTGTTGTTCCAATCCAGGTACTCTTTTGTCTTAAAGAGAAGAATGCTAAAAAGATTAATTCTCATCGATGGTTCTTTAATGCCTTTGGCCCAATTCTTAGCCCTACTATATGTGTTCTTATTGATGTTGGCACTGAGCCAGGTTAGATATCTATCAAATCTATGAAATCATTCTCATAATGATTTATAAACAAATGATTTACATTCTCATTTATTGTTTTTTTTTTGCTCAAAGGATCTAGATCTATCTATAATCTATGGAAAGCATTTGATGTAGACCCTAATGTTGCGGGTGCTTGTGGTGAAATAGTTGCCATGAAAGGTAAAGGCTGGAATAAGCTATTAAATCCAATTGTGGCCGCCCAAAATTTTGAATATAAAATGTCCAACATTCTGGATAAGCCATTTGAATCAGTGTTTGGGTACATTACTGTTTTACCCGGTGCTTTTTCTGCCTATCGGTACATTGCTCTTCAGAATACTAAAAATGTTAATGGAGAGGAGGAAGGTCCTCTAGCGTCTTATTTTAAAGGTGAAATTAATGATGAGAAAAAAGTTGATAAAAAGGAGGAAAGCATATTTACCGCGAATATGTATCTTGCCGAAGATCGTATTCTTTGTTTTGAATTGGTTGCAAAACGTGGAAACTCTTGGTTATTGCATTATGTTAAATCATCCCAGGCTGAAACTGATGTGCCTGAAAGTGTTACTGGACTGATTAGTCAACGAAGGCGTTGGTTAAATGGTTCCTTTTTTGCTAGCTTTCACGCAATTACACACTTTTATTATATTTGGAGAAGCAATCATTCTATATCTCGTAAAATATTTTTACATATTGAAATGGCATATCAAGCATATAATCTTATTTTCTCGTGGTTTGCCTTAGTAAATATAAGCTATTTAAATTTTTTTTTTTATACATTCATTAATTTATACATTTATATTTATCTAATATCGATTTATTATTTTTATAGGGAAATTTTTATTTGACATTTTGGATTTTGGGTCAGTCACTATCTAATCCTCAAGTCGCACCCTGGAATCCAAATGTTGGAAATGGTATATTTACAGTCTTGCAATATATTTTCATTGCACTAGTAATTACACAGTTCATCTTGGCCATGGGACACAGACCCCAAGGGTAAATATTAGAATTTGATATTTCATGATTTTTGTTTTATTTTAATAATATATACATATATATTTATTTCTTTTTCAATAGTTCTAAATGGGCTTATAGATTATCTATAGTATTCTTTTCCTTGGTTATGGTCTATATGTTATTTGCTGCATTCTGGCTCGCAATTAATGGTCTTAAAGATAAAATAAATAATAATGAGGTCAACATAAATGGAGCAGATACTGCTAGTTTAAGTTCTATTCTTAATAATACCACTTTTAGAAACATTATCCTTTCATTAGTTTCTACATATGGCTTGTACTTATTAGCGAGCTTTATGATGTTTGACCCATGGCACATGTTTCTTTGTATTGTACAATATATACTGTTAGTACCTTTGTATGTTATCATCTTAAATATTTATGCCTTTTGTAATATTCATGATGTTAGGTAATGTATATGAAAAAAAAGCATTTATTTATTTATTTTATTTTTTTCTTTGACATTTGTGATGCTGATTCACTTTTTATGTTATTTTAGTTGGGGGAATAGACCAGATGCATCAACGTTACAGAAAGCCGTCAATGTTGAATCCTCTACTGGAGTACCTACAGTCGAAGTTACGGTGCCTGAAGATGTTAACGATGTATATAAACAGGCTCTTAATGCAATAAGGCAACCAAAGGAAGATGAAGTTTCGATAGCTACACCACAACAAAAAAAAGAGGATTCTAGAAAATCATTTCGAACAATGGTTGTACTTCTTTGGATTTTTAGTAATGTTCTATTAATAATCGCTGTCACGTCTGTTAGTGGTGATACATCAAGAACAAATGCGTATATGGCAGTTATTCTTTGGTCTGTCGCTGGACTAGCTGCCTTCAGATTTCTCGGTACTACTACATATCTTATATTTAGATTATTTACTGATCCAAACATATTAATATTTTGGAAATAGACATTTTAATGTAACTTAGAGTGGGATGTGAGACGAGTACAATTTAATAAACTTTAATATATAATAAAACTTGTGGTTTTATTTATTTTTACGCAATTACTTAATCAACACAATACGTAGTGTTTGTATAATGGCTAGTAACATATGTAAATTTTTAAATTTTCATTGTCTGGGAGAACACCCAAAACGGGACAATGGTTTACCAATCACAAACCAATTTTCTAAAACAATTTTCTAAAAACAGCGTAACACAATATTAGATTTCGGAATATAATAATAATTAAATTAAATATTCTTAATATTTTAAGCAGCATTAACTAAATCAGACCAACTCTGGTAAATTTTAATTGTTATTGAAATGATTAGAGAAATACAGTAAGTTTATACTGTATAATATAAAGTTTTAAATATAAAGTTTTATACTAGTAAATAATTGGCTTTTAATCAACTATTTATATTAATTTAAATTAATAAAATTTAATAGCTTGATCAAATTGTAGAAATTTAGTTAGCTTAAAATAGCTTATTTTTTTTTATAAAATTAAGCTTTTTTTTAATTTTGCTAAGGCTTTGAGTACTACATTGGTTATAATTAATCTAGTTAAATAGGTTTAAATTTTTAAATTTTGAATAGTTTAAAAAATCTTTTTAAGTAGTTTATTTAACTTGTATTTTGTCAAAGTTTTAAATAATAAACTGGAATTATTTTATTCTATTTAAATTAGTAAAATTATGCAAAAACACAAATATATATAAAAGTATTGGATAAAAAAATTATAAAACATAATAGTAATATAATTATACATCATTTTTACAAAATGTTAAAAACAATCTAATTATTTGTTACAAAGCCAATACTCTTATCTACTGTATTTGTATTAATATTAAAATAAATTTTATAGTGCAAATACAGTCTACCCTCGTTATACAGTATCAACCTATTTGATTGGTTTAAATTCATGTTGATAGTGATATTAACAAGGGATTATAGGTTGATATTAATGAGGTTGATATTAACGGGGTAAACTGTATTATATTTAATAGTCTCAAAACATCTCAATATATTAAGTAATTTGATTTTAGTTTTTCAAGCTTTGAGTTTCTTACTGTGAAGTTATCTGCTAAAGCAATCAAAGATCAAAATATTTACAGATCTTTATGCTACAATATGCAGATATGATTATAGCCATTTCTCTTATGTTCAATGTTAATATATGTCTCTTAAAATTGGTGTTATCAATTCAATCACCTATATCATGTTTCGAATCTTCCAATATCATTGTTGCTGTTTGTACTTTACCATATTTCTTCCTTTTATTAATTTTGAAAACTCTTGTTTACAAGTTACTTGCTCTGCGTTATTATCCCTACATCATATATAACGTCTATCCTTTCGTCAAAGTTAAATAATAAATGGGCTAGGTGCTGGAAAAGGGACCAACCAAATTGACAATTATTTCAAAAGAATTTTTTTTTTTACATAAATCATTTTAGAGTAAGACTAGAATTATTTTTCACTTAAAACATAAGGGCAGTTGTATTAATAAAATTTTGCGGTATAGCTCTATAAAGTTTATAATTTATTATAAGATTTATAACGAGGTAAGTAATCACATACAGTCAACCCTCGATATAATCACACCTTCGGGCCTGAAAAAAGTGATATAATAAGGTTGTGCTTATTGAGAGGTTAAATTTTTTATATTTTATAGTAAGTAGGGACCTAATAATAATGTGATTATATAACCATAGCAAGGGTTGATTGTATCGCGAATAAATTTCAACCGTGATATACCTCAAGGTGTCGACACCTTAGAGTAGTAAAACATTGGGACAATTCAAAATTCTACTAAGATAACCTACTTTGAAGAAATGATTAGAATTAATTTCACATATAATAAGTTGAGACATGATAAAGTATTAAAAAGAATGTAGAACTTTCACCACAATGATCTCCTTCCGTTAATCTCCTAACAATAATATTTACTCTGTATTATTCAGGGAATTAAATTGCACATAAGGGAGGGTCGGGTATTCTGGCGCGGGTGGGTAATTTAGCGCACCGGAGTTTTTCGCACAGAATCGAAAAATTTTAGTACCATTTGTTTCGCCTCATTGAGACGATTCAAATTATATAAAAATCGCAAGGTTCTAATTACTGAGCTACAAAATAAATGAAGGTCAAATATTATGGTTCAATTTTTCTTTTAATTTTACTATGTATTTCCTCATTCGGACAATATCTGTAGGGAGGATGCAATACGTACGTACTACATAGTGCGCCGTAATACGATAATTAATTAGCTAATTAACAAATAAATTTAGGTTTATATATGCAATTCTTAGGTGCGCAAGAATACCCGACCCTCCCTTACGTTGTATATTGCTCGTCCCACCATATCGCTGATTATTAACATTATCCCCATTATATGCAGGCACCAACTCTTCAAGAGCATACAGTATTATAGTTATTGCTCGCGAAGTGGATAATAACCGATTTATTCCACGCATCCATATTATTATTATTATTATTATTATTTTAAAAAACGACGTATTTCTTTAGTTTATTAATCATAAGGTTTCTTTTTTTTTTTTCTCCTTTAGCCAGCGGCTCTTCTTACAATTCAAACGGATTAATAAAATAAAAGCAAAGATATATAATCAAGTAAAGATTCCGGATTAGTCCGAACTCAAAATCTTGGCAATAAGTATAAAAAATAGTATCGGTATGGAAGTTGCGTACTTACGTTGAAATGTACAATTGTGGTTTCAATGATTTGATCGATTTCTTAAGTCATTACTGTTACTTAAAAGGATAATGAACAATATAATAAATTTTACTAATTCTATTCATCCTCTATTAAGTAATTTAATAATTAAGTAATGTAATTACATATAAAGTTTTCTGGTAGTGCTATAAATATCTGTGCAAATATTGAGTAACTGTATAGCGCACTAAATTTGAAATGGAAAGCTGAAATTAGAATTTTTTTTTTTTGCACATATTTGTAACATCACGGAATTCTTCATTGAATTCTCCCGGTTTGTGTAGTCTTGAAATTAATAAAAAATAAAAGAAATAATAAAAAGTCAACAGATAAATCATCTCAATTGATAAAGAGTATTCGTTTATGCACAATTGTATAGATTTTTCATAGTCCTGTGTTTCTATGCAAAATCATCAAAGTATATATATACCGGAAGGAGGTAATCCCCTTCCTTTCGGGCAACAAGGCTATGTTCAAACTATCCAGGAGCCATCTACACAAGCAAAACAGTTTCCTCCTCCACCACCAAGTAAAGATTTTAATAATGGTAGTCCTGTATCACTTAATATAGAGCTCGAAAAATCTAGACAACATTGGGGTGAAGCTCCTGAGATACAGCCTCGTCGTCACACTACACAACGTGTTGTATTAAAGGATGGAAAACACTTGGTGTTGGAGTGTCCTATACCTGCAGATCTGCTTGGAAACATTTCCAATAAAGACTCAAGGGAATTTACGCATATGAGATATACCGCATGTACAAGTGGTCCAGATGACTTTACGCAGAAAGGATTTACTCTTCGTCAAGCAGAGGCTGCTCCTAAAAGAGCAACCGAACTATTTATCGTGCTAACCATGTATAATGTAGGAAAATTTTAATCATTGTTATTATTATTTTTATTTAACGATAATATAGAAGATCATAACATACATTTATTATGGTAATAGGAAAATAAAGAACTGTTATCCCGCACCTTTCATGGAGTTGTAAAAAATATTGCACACCTTTGTAGTCGTAAAAGGTCTAAAGTTTGGGTATATATACACGACTCTTATAATTATACATATTTTTGATTTGTAAATTTTATTTATATATCCTATTCAAAAAAATTTTTAAGGGTGATGAGGGATGGAAGAAAGTCGTCGTATGCATAGTTGCTGATGGTCGTGAACAAATCGATTCAAGTTCTTTAGCTTACTTAGCGGCTCTTGGTGTCTATCAAGATGGCGTTGCAGTGGACAAAGTGAGAGATGATGTCGTTAATGCTCATATATATGAGTATACAACTCAAATTTCAATCGACCATTCTATGCAATTTAAAACGCTTGGAGAGGATTCTGAAGTTGTTCCAATCCAAGTACTCTTTTGCCTTAAAGAAAAAAATGCTAAAAAGATCAACTCTCATCGATGGTTCTTTAATGCCTTTGGTCCAATTCTTGAACCTAATATATGTGTTCTTATTGATGTTGGCACCGAACCAGGTTAGGAAAAAACATCACAATGTGACACTGTTCACATGAAAATTGGTCTTGTTTGAGAACTATCCTATAATGCTTTTATAGATAAATAATCTATTTCATAATATATAATATTTTTCCCATAAGGTCCTAAGTCTATCTATAATCTATGGAAAGCATTTGATGTAGACCCTAAAGTTGCAGGTGCCTGCGGTGAAATAGTTGCCATGAAAGGTAAAGGTTGGAGGAAATTATTGAATCCAATTGTGGCTGCTCAAAATTTTGAATATAAGATGTCCAACATTCTGGATAAACCATTTGAATCGGTATTTGGATATATTACTGTTTTACCTGGAGCTTTTTCTGCTTATCGGTACATTGCTCTCCAGAATACTGATAATATTGTTGATGAAAATGGGGATGAAGAAGGCCCTCTAGTATCTTACTTTAAAGGCGAATTAAATGATGAAGAGGAAAAAAAAAAGGAAAACATGTTCGTTGCTAATATGTATCTTGCTGAGGATCGTATTCTTTGTTTTGAATTGGTTACAAAACGCAAATGTACTTGGTTATTGCATTATGTTAAATCCTCTCAAGCCGAAACAGATGTACCTGAAGATGTTATTGGACTAATTAAACAACGAAGGCGTTGGTTAAATGGATCTTTTTTTGCTTCCTTTTACGCCATTAGTCATTTTTATAATATTTCAAGGAGTGATCATTCTATAGGCCGTAAAATTTTTTTATACATCGAAATGGCGTATCAAACATATAACCTTATTTTTGCATGGTTTGCCATAGTAAATATAAGCCATTTACTTTTTTATTATTTATTTAATATATTTAATATTAACTTTTTTTTTTTTTTTTGTAGGGAAATTTTTATTTGACATTTTACATTTTGGGTCAGGCTCTTTCTGGTCGTGATGCCCCCTGGAGCCCGGACGTTGGAAAAGGCATATTCTTAGTCTTGAATTATATTTACCTTCTACTGATAATTGTACAATTCATCTTTGCCTTAGGACACAGGCCTCAAGGGTAAATTTCATTTTTTAATATATATACATTTTTTAATCTATACATTTTATCTAATTTTTTTTTCCTCTCTCTCTTGGATGAACGAATGAATTATTACTTAATAGTTCTGATAAGGCTTATATAATTTCAATAATAATCTTTAGTATAATTATGATTTACACGTTGTTTGCTGCCTTTTGGCTTGCAATTAAGGGTATTGATTATGAGGTAGCTTTATTGGGATATAATATATCAGGTTTTAATACTGCTACTGCAAATTCTATTTTTAATAATACTACCTTTAGAAACATCATCCTTTCTTTAATTTCCACATTTGGTTTATACCTGATCTCAAGTTTAATGATGCTTGATCCATGGCATATTTTTACTTGTATTTTACAATATATCATATTGTTACCGTTTTATGTTATTATATTAAATATTTACGCTTTTTGTAATATTCATGATGTCACGTAATGTAAACCAAAATTATGTTGTTTTTTTTTTAAGAAAAAATTTATTTGCTAATTCACTTTTATTCTATTTATAGTTGGGGGAATAGGCCCGAACTACCAAAACCAACGAAGGAAGCCAAAGGTGTCGAATCTAGCTCCGTGCCTACAGTTGAGGTTTCTGTTCCCGAAGATATTAATGCCGTATATCAACTAGCTGTTCAAGCAGTAAGACGAAAAGCTAGTAAGGAAGTAACGATTTCTACACCAAAACAAAAAAAAGAAGATGCTCGAAAATCATTTCGAACAAAGGTTGTACTTGCATGGGTTTTTAGCAACATTATATTAATCGCCATTATCGTATATGTTGGTAGTTCTCAGGCAGCAGTAACAGATGGCTATATGGCGTTTATTCTTTGGTCTGTCGCCGGATTGGCTGCATTTAGATTTTTTGGTACTTTTACATACCTAATATTTAGATTATTCACGGATCCAAACATACTAAAATGTACCAATTAATTTAGTTGAATTTAACATATGTATAATAGGGATAGTGATAGTGGTTTTTAAAGGTGATGATTATGATAATATTGTAGTTACGTTTTTAAAATTACATAATTGCAGTATTTCAAGATAATGCTTATTATTTTATTTTGGTTTATAAACATCTTTACAGTATTAAGATTATCGCCTTCAAATATTAAATGTAAATTTAACTAACAAATCTTGTTATGAACTACAGCGTAACAGAAGATTTTCAATAATTGCGTAATTTAAAGTAATATATACCGTATTTTCGCGAAATAACGCGCAGGGGTGAAATTACAGCATGACGGAAGTTCAATTTTATTGGCTACACGTGTGTAAATCGCAGATCCTAAATTGTTAAATATGATTGGCTAA